CAAAAAAAAACAAAAAAAAAACAAACAAAAAAACAACAACAACAAAAAACAGAAAAAAAAGATAACAAATTATTTAAACAAATCCGTTAGAAATCCGTTACTGTGAATAACTGCAATTCAAACACGGACCGTTTGTCCCCTGATAAAAGCCACAAAAATCGTTTCATGGCCTTAAATTTGTCAGAAAGGAATACGACTTATCAGTGTCATGTCGAAAACAATTCAGAACGAAATGATCAGTACTGCTTGAAAGTATATTCTTGATAATATTTCACGTGAAATTAGAGACAGCAAAATTTTTTTATAACATTGCAGATGAAACTGCTGATGTATCTAACAAGACATTTTCTGTTGTTCTTATTGCTCCTCAGTCCAAATGTAGTAAATATTATAGTTCTATCAATTTTCATATGGGTGGGTTAAAGGTTGGAACTAGTCAAGACAAATCCTAGATCCACCCCTAATGTCTACTGATATATTGCTGTTATATTTTAATCATTGTCTTTAGAAATAAATATATTATTTATCAGTAAGATGAGAACGGAATCCTAGCCTTGTTGGCGTAGAAACACAGACTTCCTCGATGCATTAGCGGCTTCTTTATATTTATTCAATACTCTATTCTTTTAGAGCAGCCTTTTTATAATATATGTTTCCGTCCTATCAGACCAAAGTATGTTTTTCTTACATGGAAGTCTCGCTCTACATTTAAAGAATAGTCCAGAAGAGCAATTAGAGAAAATTTTGGCTAATGCATGCTGATGCGAGTCTTCTTTATAACAGATCAGCATTAATACTATTCATGCTTATCATTGTGCAGTTGATCTATGATTAGTGTTGACATTTGACGTCATTTGTGACTCCTGCAGACTACATTTTTAGTCATAGAAAGGATTCAGGGCCGTAACTAGGGGGGAGCACAGGGTGCACATCCACCTCCCCCTCCCCCATCCCATAAAAGCTTAAGGTCCCCTCATCCATATCTCTTTTTTTTTTCTTTGGTTCTGCTTTCTTTCGGTTACCTTTTGGCTTTTTTTTTTTTGTTTTTTTGTTTTTGTTTTATTCGGTTCTGCTTTCTTAAAAGAAATACGATCAATGGTCCGACTTTATTCGATGTGCACCCTTCCTGTAAAAGTTCTTGTTACGTCCCTGAATCCCGTGTCAAGTGTGGAAAATCTACCTTTAAACCCACTTAGTTTCACTATAAAGATAATTTAATCCATCATGTCCAGTCACGAGGTTGAGTATAAACCAAGCACCGCATCCGTGCTTGGTAATAATTCGAAAACATATATAATTCTAAATCCTTGATTGTATTTTTTTTGACAAGAGATCTTCTTTGTTTGAAACAACACGTATCAGAGTAGTTGAACTTTATCCTAAAGATTATTTCGCTTTACAAGCAAACCAGTGGTAAGACTTAGTACTACAGCGGAAAAAAAACAAAAAAAACCAGCTAAGTGCCCCTAAGGGCAGACTGGCCGAATGACTTTAAGGTAATAGTAAACTGTTCTCCTGCTCTAGTCAAAACAGATACTGCATTGTTTGCATTTATCATCCATTTACTACCACTACCAAAATCCTCAGCTGTACACTTTGTTTTTTAGTTTAATAATTAGCACTAATTTCCTTACTATTTTCATCAGGGGACAGAAAGAAAAGTTGCAGTCTAGAGCGACATTCTTGAATACAGTGAGTCAAAATGACGCTATCTTGCAAACGACTATAGATAAACCTTTTCAGCCATTTTAGCGTGATGTCTTCTCATCTTAGAACACGAGCCAAGTTTCAAGAGTATTTTAATTTAAAATAAAGGGTGTATAATCGAACTAGAAATGAAAAAGAACATACTCTAGCCTGAAAAGATATAACTAGCTAAAAACTAGTGTGAGCTGCGTCGGTGTTTCTAATGAAACAGTAATGATGAAAAGGTAAATTATACACCGTGAAAAGATGAAAAAACTTACTGACGTTTCGGACGCTAGTCCTTCGTCGGAGTAAAAGAGGAATTATTTCCTGTCAAAAATTCCTTTTTCTCAAATGTTTATAAAAAGAATTATTGCTGTCAATGGTGCTTTCCAAAAGTCTGTTCATATCAAGTCTGATGTCTTTATCGAGCCGTTATTCCAGATTAAGGTACTTGAGTGCACTTACTCGTAATCAATACATTAATACGATAAGACCATGGGATATTAGTATAATCTCTTTGCAATAACATTACTAAGTAGATATGAAGCATTCTTGAGTAAGCTAAGCCTACTGGTACAATCTATACAGATCAACACCGAATGTATAAGATGGAAATATTTCATGTAAGAGGCGAGACAATTGACGCTTGACCGATAGGTACTGACCATCACCGAGGCAGGGTCTCTGTATTGATACAAGGCTCGAAAGCTTCACAAATCATCTACAAGATTTGGAAGACATGAAAATTCATGTACGCACAATGTAAAGGCGGTACTGAACACAGTTTCACTGAGAGAATTTCCTTGTTTTTCTTGTATTTAAAGATTAATCTTCCTAAACTTCTCTATCTATAAAGAGGCAACAAGTCGATAAGAGGGGTAAATTGGATTACCAGATATATTTCTCTTTATATGTTTGGCACATGTTATATGTCTACATATAGTATAGATCATAGATAGGGTAATTTCCTGTGAGAAATCTGTGTTTTGTTAACGGCTACGCATTTTCGCGGGACGTTTGCCAAGGTGCCTTGAAATCAGAAATTTGTTTTGTGAGAAGACCGCCTCCCGCGAAAAAAAAAACATGTTTATTTGCTCATTTTTCCATGATTGTGCATGCGTTAATGCGTTTCTCATACAGTTTTCTTGCTTCCCAAGGTCTTTTATTTTTTTATCGTGGGGACAGCCTCGTTGGACAATAGGCGACTTGCACTAAGAGGTCACGTGATCAAATCAGCCATTGTCGCTGGCATTCTACAGGATTTTAGTATGCGAGTGTAAAAAAAGATGGCGGATTCGGATAGTTTTTTGGTGATAAAAGGTAAGTTAGCGCACTAAATAACGATAAAAATCCCCTTTTCTTGCAAGAATTATATTCTTAATAGATATTTAAAGTAGATTTTTGCTATTAACTCGCCAAGAAGAGAAAAAATATGGCATTTTTTGAGCTATGATGTGAAGACCTACGAAGTGTTTAGTCTTGTTTCGCCCGCTGCATGACTTCAAAACATGCCATATTTTCCCTCTTCATGGCGAATGCAGCAAAAATCTACTTTAGGTATCTATTAGAACTATATTTCTTGCAAGAAAAATGCATTTTTCAGCCAACAGACTGCAATATTAAACATATTGCAGTCGGTTATGTGCAATATTTTTAATATTGCAGTTTGGTCTATGTATTTAGCGCGTATAAGTTCACTCCGATGAAGGACTAACGTCCGAAACGTCAGTTTCATTTTTACATACCATACGGTGTTACATATTATCTATCTATAAACTAAGTTTACCCCTGTTAATTTCCCTTCTGACAAAAAACACCGCTCCCGTATTTCTGAGAATGTTTGCTTTCAAATGTTGTCACACAGCAATCAACGATATAGTGCAGAGAGAGAACAATGGGGTGGGATACTAAAAAGTGAATATGTATTAGATAGCTACTTCGGTGACACAGCAATAAATTGCTGCGTGTCATAGTAGCTATCTATCACATAATAGGATAGTATTAATCAATATAACGCCTGTAAATGCACAGAGAAATTAAATATTGTGATACTTGTGTTATTTAATAGTCACAATAAAGATAAACCTTTATCTGGCACCCATCATCCCGAGTATTTTTTACGGGAGCAAATGAACGGAGCAAATTGTACGAAAAACTTTAAATCAATCCTTCTATCAGCAAATGTAAGAATTATAGAGGCATATATTCGACAACCATCGTAGCTTTTCAACCAATTCGTTTAGGAACATGAATTACATTGCAGTCTTATCAAACATCTCAAATCATCAATATCGCTCTTTATAATATAACGATTGATTGATTATCAAAAACATAGTCTAGCTTGAGATTCATAATGTCAAGTGACGCTTTGATGTTCTGCTTGGTCGGGTGTCTCCACCTTTGAAGAATGGAAGGTTCAAAGAACGATATGTTTCTTTCTTATTCGTATCAAATCTTAGCTTTATTTTTTAATAAAAATATATTATCTACATGCGACTTTTTTCACTCAACTGATATATACCTTGTATACATAATACATTACGTTTTTACAAGTATGGACCTTACATCAAACGGCAACAATGTTTAGAAAATGGTGCGTAAATAGATAGATGCATTAGATTTACTACAATCTGGGACAAAATTAGTTACAAAATATAACTTATAACTTTTATTTTCAAAGAGTTCCCCCCATCCCCCTATCTACCCAATGCTGTGTTTTGAGACAAATCAGTCACCAGAACAAGAAGTGCCCCGGGGGAGGGGGTATTGGGAAGGGGGAGGGGGGGGGGGGGGCTGAAGGAAACAGCAGAAAAGTGCCAAGGACCGGCATCCAAATTATGTCATTAAAAGGACAATGTAACAATAATTTTGTCCACGATTGTAGGTAAAACTACCAGAGAATAATCTACCAGTAAGATAAATTATTGACCATAAATTAATCGACTTTTCCGCAGTAAAAAATGTAGATCCCTAGTGATCATAGAGGTCAGTGTTGCTTGAGGAGTATTGATGGATGTGTATACAAATTTTAGCAAAACGTTATGTTTATAACCTGATGGTGCTGCACCTCTTTTTTTTGTACCGTGTTGTCGTCTACTGACACGATCAAT